ATCTTTCTTATAATCCTGCAAAGATTTACCATTCACGTTTACAACTCAGACCCCTATGTTTTTCTATCGAGATCCTGATGAGGATTAGTATTGGTATTTCCAAGGGGGGAAAAATCTCATTTCGAGCCATTCGAATGGCTAGGAATGGCTTGGAATGGATCGGAATGGATCGGAATCAGGGCTCGAAACGGACCACTTTTATAGGGCCCGGCCAGGCTCACAGTGGCCCATCAAATTTTGAGCCCACCCAGCCCAGCCATTAAAATGTATGGGCTCGCCTAGCCCGGCTCATCAAATTTGTTGGCCCGCCCGGGCCAGCCCGACCTAGGCCCAGCGAAACTGTTTTTAGAAAATATTTTTTGTAGAACTGATTATAAAAATAAACGTCGTATTTCAAAAGAATTTCCGTAGAGTTCATCAATAATTTATTGATGAAGTTAATTACATTGGACCATTAATGTCAAAAAAAATTAATTAACAATTATCACGAAAAACTGCCAGACGTAGAACAAATGTCAAAAACTGCATTGTGCATGAAAAAAATCAACATTTATCTGAGANAAAAAACGTCTTCTTTCTATTTCAAAAAAAATGTTTCATGAATATTGATGATATATTTTATAAAAAGTTGAAGTAAAATAATGTAAGTCTTGAATATTCATGAAAAATGTTTTTTGAAATAGAAAGAAGACGTTTTTTGTGATGTTATTTTCATTTTTGTTTCTTTGAGAAAAATAGGACACTACACTACTTCTCAGTGTTTCTGTCTTAGTTTTATAAAAAGAATACTACACGAACTTAGTTGAACCTTTTCATTGCCATTCTTCTAGAGAATTTCACAGAGAGACTTGTAAAAAAAAACTCAACGTTATAAGAGTTGTCTATCTTCAGATATTTTCAAAATAGTCAATGTTGCAATCATTTTGGTTCATCCAGTAAATTGAACTTCGAGAGCATAATTCTCATGCAATGATTCGTAGGCGTGCAGGAATATGTGGATGTGTGATGTGATCTATAAGAATAACGTATGTGGGTCTACCATTCGACAAACATACGTAGCGTAAGTTGACATGCCGTCAGCTATCTTAGCTAGCATCTATCATGGTATCGAAGTACAAACAGTGTTTTATTTTCTTGTTCTTATTTTCAACCTTAAGCAAATCTTGAACGCTTTTTTTAACGCAAACGTAAAATTGACTTCACAATAGGATTAATCTCGTCTTCCGTTGTGTCAACTAATTGTTCTCGTAAAAATTGTTCATATGTTCGTACTAACATTTGCAGTTGAATTACTTTTTGTATCAGTTGTGAATATTGACGTACTACGTGATAATAGGTTGAATGTTTTTCAACCATGTAGCGAAATAATAGGCTTGTATAGATTGATTCTGCTTCATAGACTTGTTTCCTATTCAGAAGGATCGATTCTTCATTTGTTACAATATCTTCAACTGAGACAATTTTGCCAAATGTCAATATAACCATCATCAGTTGAAAAATAATTGGGTCGTCATCAGTAATTTTCTTGACTGAACGAAACAGTTGAGTTGATCGTGAACACAATTGTTCCCCATAGCAATACCATGACAGTTGTTTGCAAGCGACAGCATATTCTTCGCTTTCAACTTCTGAATCAATTACGAGATCTCTATTTATATCGTAATTCAGACATGTACGCATGAAAAATACTAAAGGAGAATTGTATTTAAATAAGATAAAACGATCTTGTTCATTTAGTAATTCGAACTCAGGAATATTTCGGATGAATGTCATGAGTTGCATACCGATATTATAAATGGTTGAGGTTGAACAGAGTAAAGCCGATCGTTGATCGATTATATGGTTGAACGCAGATATATCATGTTTGACTGCTGTTAGTCGAAAAGCTCTCTCATAGGACAGCTTAATTGAGTTGAGACAATTGTAGTCGTTGAAAGTGAGAAAAATGTTTTGAGAAGGTGGTATAGTTTGTTGAATAGCAGGTAATCGAGTAGTTTGAAGCTGCTTTATAGTAGACTCCTTAAATGACAAATATAGAGGATATAAAGGGATGTAGAATTTTGTTGTTTCAACTTGATGCATCTTGTGTCATAACTTTCACTCTTTCCTCTTGACATAAATAGACTGTCATTAGATTTTAAGAGACATAACATGCAAAAGACGATTGCACTTGTTCAGAGCGGCTCTTGAATTTACGCTTCTCGCCACTTTTTCACATGAAGCCATTCATCCTCTTTTAAGCGAGATTTTCTGTCTCAAAAACTATTGTTTAGCTGAAAATTATAAGCTTTGCCATAAACAGAGACAAAAGGCAAGAAAAAAGAGAAGCTGAGATTTTCGAAGGACAGTAGCTTATAAAGGTACGGTTCAACAGAGCTAGGATTTTTACGACTGGAAAGA